TATTTTGAACTGGGAAGATGTCCAGTGAAAAAAGACTAGGAAATGAGACTGAAACTTCACCAGAAAAATGCAAAGTAGAGCCAAGTACTCACACGTGGTTTCATTCATCCTGGTTCATGAACTCTCTCTAACACATTGTTTCTTGGGTCGCTTCTGTTTTCAAAATGCATGTTTCAGGTAGAAATGTTTTAAATGCAAATTATTATAGTTGGACCAAAATGGGCACCTAAAAAAAAATAAATGAACTATACAAAGATAGTTGCTATCTTCCCATGAGAATCTACAAAAAGAAAAAAAAAATAGAAAAGACAAAGCCTAAACAACAAACAGGAGGAAGGAGACAAACAAGAAATATCAAAAATCACACACCAGGTGTCTCTTAAAGGCAAGACATGATCCAGGGATTTTATGTTCAACTGAACTGACTTTAAAATATAAAAGCCCCAGTTGTCATCAAAATGTAAGAATGCAATAAATGCTGTTTCCATGGCTTCCATTTCTGCTCAAAAGTGAGCTTCAGGAAAGCAAAGATGGTGCAGAAACAGGGGGTGATCATATTTTAAAATCAAATTTTAATGCTTCTATTATATGTTCTTAGTAGTCAGTAGTAATACTGGTATTGTGGTATATGTGTTTTAGCATTAAAAATAGTAATTAAGAGGCATCACAATTCAGTTATCCCCTATATCTAAGGAACTAAGATTCTTGGGCAAGTGGATATAGATATAGCCCCAGAAGTTTAGTGAAATGCTGTAGCCTTCATTTGAACTGGAAGTGTCAGAATTAATTAGTGAGATATTTTATTGTACCTATGCACACAAATATAAAACATTCTAGCTTTGTCCGGTGAAAACACCTAGAAACAATTATCAACTCAATATCACCCTCAGAATTATAATCTTAAAATACCATTTCCTACTAAAAGAAGCCAGTGCTGCCTAGAGAAATTATCCTAGGCCTGGAATAGGAAATGGACTTGAAATATCTTTGGGGAAAAAAAAAGAAGTCTTATAAAAAAGTTAGTGTTTTTTGGGGTTTTATTTTTGTATTTGTGAAATTTTTCAGTTTTCTGGAATTTGTCATTTGTGGTTTTTAAGCTTCATTTTTAAGCTAAATTATCTAGTTTCATTTTCTTATAAATGCCTCCTCCACCCCTCAGATTATATTTGCTTCAATGCCTACAAAATGTAAATTTCCACTTTCTTATATACCACAAGGGCATAATACGAATTCCTGAAAAGGATAATTGAACAAATATAGTAGAGGAAAAATAAAGAACTGATAGAAGAAACTTTTCTTAAAATGCAAGTCTTCATACTAGGAACCCTGGAAAAACTGACAAATTTCAGCAAATATATTTAATAACATTACTGAACTTTTAAAGACAAAAAAATGATAATACAGACCGTTTCATAATAACAACCAGTGAAGAAAGAACAGATGAATGGTTATGACAGAGTTTTAAAAGAAAGTGTTACTCCAATAATATCGTATGTAGCCAATTATTCCATTATCTGTGAGAGTTCCACAAGATTTTCTCAAGAAAATTGAGTACTCAGGAAAGGTAGTAAATCCTGGTTCTTAAAAACTGTTTGACAAAAACTAAGCTAACTTTTAATTTTTTCAAAATGAAAGTTTATAAATGGAGGAAAAGGATTTTTGATACACTGAATCTAGTTAGAGACAACACTAAAAGCATGCTACCTAGAGTATTTAAGAGCAGAATTTTACCTTGACCTATAAAATTGATAACTAAAAACAATGAAATAATTTATTCATCAACTCTGAGCTGAGCATTGCTCCTGTGTATGCACTGTACTAAAGATATTATAATAAGCAAGACTGCAATACATTTTTGCCTTTAGGAGCCTTATGACCTATAATTAGCCAAATTACTGTAGCAGTAGAGTGGATATTTGGTGAACTTTTTGCGTGTGTGTGTGTGTGTGAGAGAGAGAGAGAGAGAGAGTATCTACTTCTCAATTCTTCCCCTTTTCTTGCAACAAAATTCCTCTTTTCTTTGAGGCATCCATTCTCTTCAGTTTGGGTAGAGTCATGCCACCCACCCTTACACACAGGCCCTCACTGACAGTAGGGAATGACTCAGTACTGGGCACATGATCCAGGAGAAATTTGCTGATGTAGTTATCATGAAAACCTCATATGCATTGGTGTTGCTCAACTAATAGGATGTAAGTGGTCTTGTTGGCCCTGATATTAAAAAAGGATCAGAGAAATCCTTGATATCATTTAAATATTCTGAATCCCACAGAAATCAGCTATATCACTGATCATTCCAGTTATAGAACCAATAATAAATTCTCTGCATCTTTATTTGTCTTTTGGAATTGGATTTCATTCCTTACAACTGTCTGAAGTCCATCAGGTTCTAGTATGATAAGTGTTGTAATAGGAGAATTGTACAATATGGGAGCACACACATAGCAATAACATATAAATTCTCTTGTAATTTCCCCATTCCTGGGATATTTTTTTTCATTGTATTTTTTAAAGATTTATTTTTATTGGAAAGTCATTTATACAGAGAGGAGGAGAGACAGAGAGGAAGATCTTCCATCCGATGATTCACTCCCCAAGCGGCCACAATGGCCAGAGCTGTGCTGATCTGAAGCCAGCATATGGAGCCTCTTCCAGGTCTCCCACGCAGATGCAGGGTCCCAAGGCTTTGGGCCGTCCTCAGCTGCTTTCCCAGGCCACAAGCAGGGAGCTGGATGGGAAGTGGAGCAGCTGGGATTAGAACCGACACCCATGTGGGATCCTGGCCTGTTCAAAGTGAGGACTTTAGTGGCTAGGCTACCGTGCTGGGCTCTTTCATTGTATTTTTAAACATTTATATTCAAAGTGCTACTGGTGTGATTTCAAAGTTAAACAAAATAATAACAACAGATAGAAAGGAAGAGTGGTAAGAGGAACTCTGAGAATGTTAATTTTGTCATGGCAAGGAGTTGAAGGTAAAACATATATTTAAAAAATGTGACTCAAAACTAATAAGACAACCAATCAAAACATTTGCAGTAGCCCTAGTTAGGCACTGCATAAAAGGGAATGAAACATGGGTGATGCACGCGTAATAACTTAATTTTACTCATCATTAGGGATTTACAATTATTAGCTTCTAAACCACAGCTACCAGGATGATTGTAAGTAAAAAGAAATTCCCAAATGTTTGGAAGGATGTGTAGCCTGAGGAACCCTCTAGCATTGCTAAAGAAATTATAATTTGGCCCAACACTTGGGAAAACTGATATAATCAACATATGTTTACCTTGCTACCTATTAATTCTGCATGTAAGTAAAATCCAAAATAAATGTGTACATACGTTAACCAGAAGACACACAAAATGCCCATAGCAGTCATAATCATGTTACAAACTGGAAATACTGAAATGTATGCCTGTGGTAGGATGAGTTAGTACTCACATAATGTTATGGAAGGCTAATTGCAAATGAAATGCAATTATGCAATAATATGGTAAATATCACAAATAGAATATTTAATGAAAAATAGCCAAAACTGAAGCATCCTGGCAGAAGTCAGACGAATGGTAATCCTCAAAGCTTACCAAAAGGCCCAGCAGTAGCCTAGTGGGTAAAGTCCTCACCTTGCATGATCTGGGATCCCTTATGGGTGCCAGTTCTGTCCCAGCTGCTCCATTTTCCATCCAGCTCCCTGCTTGTGGCCTGGGAAAGCAGTGGAGGATGACCCAGAGCCTTGGGACCTTGCACCTGCATGGGAGACCTGAAGAAGGTTCCTGGCTCCTGGCTTCTGATCAGCTTAGCCCCAGCCACTGGGGCCACTTGGGGAGAGAACCAGTGGACAAAGGATCTTTTCTGTAAATTTGACTTTTCAATAAAAAATAAATAACCTTAAAAAAAAGTTTAATGAAAAGTAACAATAGGCTATGTTGAGATTGTGAAAATCCTTTAAGTTATATATAGATTTGTGTGCTGTACTATATATATATATGATCTCTTTCAAAAGATTTCAAAAGTAAATATCTGACTCAAAGCTCAATATTTTCCAAAGTCTTTAATTTCTAGGAATCCATTGGAACTTAGGGTGAACAATCATTTACTTGAAATTCAGCATTTTTTTAAAGATCTGAATTTCCTTTTAGTCAATGAATTTCAATTAAATGTTAAGTACCTTTTACTTAAAATGAAACATGTAAAACTATGTTTTTTTGTAATTTTATTGTCGGGGGAAGCGTTGGCTTAGTAATTAAAATGCCACTTGGGACACCTGCATCCCGCATCTGTTTCTCTGGGTTTGCGTCCCAGCCCTGCTCTGATTCCACTTCCTGCTAAAGTGTGCCCTTGGAGGCAGCAGGTGCTGGCTCCATTGCTCAGGTCCCTTTTGGATGATCTGGATGGAGTCCCCTGTTCCTGCCTTCAGGAGTTGGCAGGCATCTGGAGGTAAATCATGAATGGAAGATCTTGCAAATAATATTTTTTTTCCTTGTTTCCTCTCTCCAGCCTTCCTCCGATATGTACATACCTAGAAAGACATGGTTGTATCTCTGAGCTGAAATGTGTGGTGCATTTTAAAAATTCTTTTCCAGACTTGGCCACATAGGTTGAATGTTTTATCACCATGTATATTTGTCATTTCTGTAAAAACATTAAAGTTTATTTTTAAAAAGAAAAGTTGATTCTGCTTTTTGTGCCTACATCCTACCTTCTGCTCTAGCAATCAAAACAAAATACTCACAGAGACGTACTCTAGGCAAAAATCTCACAGCAGTTACCCAGCCTTGTTCAGGCTGTTTCAGGGCCATCCCTGCCTCTCGCTTCTCAGTGGGTGTGTATCCACCTTGTTAGTCTGCAGGCAGCTTTCTGTTCATGCTGAATGGAAACACACAGCATGGTCTCCCAGAGGAGCAGTGGCTCCAGATGACAGTGACATGATGGGTTACAGAGAAAAGCAGATGCAATACTTGAAAGCCTTCTTATCAATACTTTCTTTTCTTTATTTCTAGAGTCTGATATTTCTTGTTCGAGACTGGAGTTTCCCATACGAATTTTCATATGGAGCTGATGGAGGAGCCAAATTTTTAGAAAAACGCCTCAAGGTGTGTTAAGATACTTTTAAATATATGAAATTTCACTATAAAATTTGGGGGGGGCAATAATTTGTTGAATATTTGGTAGCCATAATCTCATTTGACCCTCATAGCATTTTTATGAACAAACTAAGTTGACAGTTAACTAATTATTGTTTTGATTACTAACAGTAGTGATCGCAGATAAAGTAATATTTTATAGATATCTATAAAATATTTATCCCTAAAGATAAAATCTTTACTTCAGGAAATACAGTTCAGAATGTACAGTGCAAATATCAAGATTCATGTTTTAGGAAAGGTTTAAAAGTCGATTTAGCAGACATTTAATTTTGAAATCACTTAAGTCAGACTTAGAACATTTTGCTACCAGTTGGTTTTAAAATTAGAATGCCTTCTGCTTTCTATGTCATGATAAATTAATATTGTATGGATTGTTTACACTGAGTAGACCACACACACAAAAATGCCTACATGAGAAATGAGGGGAAACACCAAAAATTTTAAAAATTCCCTAAAATCAGGACCTCTGGGCTTATATTTTTATATTTCTACTTTTGAATACTCCAAACTGTCAAACACATGTGGTGAAAGGCAGTGGAAAGCAGTTCATCTCAGGTTAAAGCTATTCAGATGCCTTTCTAGGATCTACATGTATAGCTACCAGGCAACAGGAGGTTAAGTATCTTCGGATAAACTGATCTATTCGAATGCTTTGAATTATTGTTTGGATTTGTAATTACTCATTCAGCTAAAACCCCACTCATGTGAATTAATGTTGAGTTATCATAAGCTTCAACAACTACAGTAACGATGTGTGTCTGCTATACTTAGATGTAGCTCTTTGAGCAAATTCATCCCAGACGGTCTTGTGTCACTAGCAGCCCCATCATATAGTTTTGATCACTGTAGGACCAGTAGTCACACATTACAAATATAAGAAGCCACGGTATTCCTCTGATATTTTCTAAAAGTAGCTTCAATTCCACCATGATTTACTGCAGGTCTCAGGGAACCAGCATGAAGAACTACAGAATGTTCGAAAACACATCCATTCCTGTTTCACCAACATTTCCTGCTTTCTGCTACCTCATCCTGGCTTAAAAGTGGCTACCAATCCAAACTTTGATGGAAAACTGAAAGGTTTGAATTCTAAAGACTGTTTTATAGCGATTTTTTAAAAATAATCTAATTATAAAAGTGTCATTTTCTCTTTGACCTATGGCTGCTAGTTCACTTACCCACTGATGAGAAGCTGGAAATTAGAAAGTGTGAGAACTGGGGGTCCCGGGCTGGACCTCGTCTTCTGTGAATGACAGAAAGCTTGTCCCTGGGGGTCAACACTGCCTGCAGAAACAACACAGCCACCCACCTGCCTTCTGAGACACTCCCAATGTCTTCTGCTTCCTTTTCCTTATTTCCATTAAAAGGGCAACTCATGTCTGTAGCATTGGAATCTCTTATACAGAAATCAAAAAGAAACAATATGGGTACTGAATTCATACTTTTTAAAAACAGCTATGAAACAATAAATTACAGATTTAAATTCAAAATAATTATAGCTTTAAAGGTCACTAAAAAATGAATTCCTGATACCATGAAGACCAGTATCTTTTTTATTTTTATTTTTCATGATACAATTCCATAGGCTCAGGGATTTCCCCTTCCACCCTCCCCATTTATCCTCTCCCCTCCACTGTTCCCCTTATATATGTTACAATAGTATAGTCCTTCAGCAACAATCACAAATCCATCATTCTGCTACTTAAGTGCATTATGACCTTGCAGGCATAGGCAATGGTAGAAAGTCCAGCATACTACTGTTAAGATATGTTTAACAGTTTCATTGGGAGTCCATCAAAAGTAGAGAAGCACTGTAATTTTACTTCCCAGTTTGCCAGGAAGACCAGTATCTTTAAAAAAAAAAAAATGCACTGGAGTGTTTTTCAGTCTATGGCTTCGAGTATGCAGTCATCTCTTCAGCATATTATTACTGTTTCATGATTCCAGAACAGCTCAACTTATTGGAAAAGGTTGAGGAGTTGGTTGAGAGTAGAAGGAGCATTCTAGAAAACAGAAAGGAATCTTTCCTGATAGTCACCAAATTTTAGACATATGCTTTGTGGTTTCTTAGTGTGCTACAAACATTTCTGCCTTCTTTACTTGAACAGCTAGCAGTGAGCATCCCTCCAGCTACCTGTTTAATTCACAGCTGCCTTCATGCATCATGCTGAGTCAGACAGTGATGCTGCAAGTTCTGCAGCACAACAGCCAAAGGGATTTAAAATTACCTTTATTTAAAAAATTTAAGATTTATTTATTTTTATTGGAAAGGTGGATATACAGAGAGGAGGAGAGACAGAGAGGAAGATCTTCCATCCGATGGTTCACTCCCCAAGTGACTGCAACAGCTGGAGCTGAGCCAAACTGAAGCCAGGAGCCAGGAGCTCTTCCAGGTCTCCCATGCGGGTTCAGGGTCCCAAGGCTTTGGGCTGTCCTCCACTGCTTTCCCAGGCCACAAGCAGGGAGTTGGATGGGAAGCAGGGCCACGGGGATTAGAACCAGCGACCATATGGGATACTGGTGCTTGCAAGGCGAGGACTTTAACCCCTACACTATCGCACCGGGCCCATTACTTTTATTTATTTTTTTTTTAAAGATTTATTTTTATTATTTTTTCATTGGAAGGGCGGATATACAGAGAGGAGAGACAGAGAGGAAGATCTTCCGTCCGATGATTCACTCCCCAAGTGAGCCGCAACGGGCCGATACTATGCCGATCCGAAGCCAGGAGCCTCTTCCGGGTCTCCCACGCGGGTGCAGGGTCCCAAAGCTTTGAGCTGTCCTCAACTGCTTTCCCAGGCCACAGGCAGGGAGCTGGAAGGGAAGCGGGGCTGCCGGGATTAGAACCGGCGTCCATATGGGATCCCGGGCGTGCTAGGCGAGGACCTTTAACCACTTGCGCCACCGCGCTGGGCCCATTACTTTTATTTTTAAAAGATTTTATTTATTTTTCTTTGAAAGGCAGATATCCAGAGAGGAGGAAAGACAGAGAGGAAGATCTTGTTCACTGATTCATTCCCCAAGTGGCCACAATGGCCAAACTAAGCTGATCTGAAGCTGAAGCCAAGAGCTTCTTCTGGGCCTCCCATGCACGTGCCAGATCCCAAGATCTTGGACTGTCCTCTGCTGCTTTCTCAGGCCACAAGCAGAGCTGGATGGGAAGCAGAGCAGCTGGGACATGACCAGACGCCCAAATTGGATCCCAGAGGATGCAAGACAAGGACTTCAGCCACTAGTATGTTGCGCTGGGCCCTAAAATTACTTCTTAAAAGAGTATCAAGGACCCAGCGAGGTAACCCACTGACTAAAGTCCTCACCTTGCATGCACCAGGATCCCAAATGGGCACTGGTTCTAATCCCAGCAGCCCCGCTTCCCATCCATCCAGCTCTCCTTGTGGCCTGGGAAAGCAGTCGAGGATGGACCAAAGCCTTGGGACCCTGCACCTGTGTGGGAGACCCAGAAGAGGCTCCTGGCTTTGGATCAGCTCAGCTCTGGCCATTGTGGCTGCTTGGGGAGTGAATCAGCAGACAGAAGATCTTCCTCTCTGTCTCTCCTCCTCTCTATATATCTGACTTTTCAATGAAAATAAAATCTTAAAAAAAAAAGAAAGAACATCATGCTAGTATCCTGTTTCAGGGAAATGGCAGATGTGAAGAATAAAAGTATAATTTCTCCCCTGCACCTATGGCTTTTACTTTGAAAGCTTTTATGTAACTTTATAGCTAGTAATACATTTAGTGAAATGCCAGATTTCTTAATCATCCCAGTTACTTTCATATTCATTTTAAATTATCTCACCTATTATTTTTATAACAGAACAAATAGTGAATACATAGTAACACATAAACACCGAGCTCCTGTCTTTTCACTGTCACTCATGGTTCAGCCACTGGTGAATAACCACACCACTAGATGTCATGCAATTACCTAATGGCTGCAGTGTATTTTGAAATTACATAAAGGGAGGCTTCCACAATGCATCTATTCTCTAGAGAGCTATAAACAGCAGAGGAGGGGCGGGCTTTCAGCAACAGTCCTTTATTGGGACAAAAAGTGCTCTGGCTTGTTCAGTACTGTAGTACACAACAACAGTTCTGAACTGATACATTCTGCAAAGCAAGAGCTCAGGGAAAGAGATGAAGGCAAAACACACAAATCAGAATCCCACTTGTTAAGATTCGCTCTCTATCAGATGTTACTCTCCCATTCACAGGCACATTGATCTGCACTCTGGCTTACAACTTCCTGAGTGGAGTTTAGCAAAGAAAAACAAGAGGCAACTTCTGTTGCCCTTAACGGTTCCATTTTAATGAACTTTTCTACCTCTTGGCTGGCTGCTCTCTCCTTTGTGCAGTGTCTGCACTGGCGTTTCCTCAGGCAGTTCTGCAAGTCTGCCAGCTGCTGGCTTCCCATTGCACTTAGTGCTGTTCGTTTGGTTATCTCTCTCTGGGCCATCTTGTCAGCAGGCATTTCTTCAGAGGTCTGGCATCTGGAGGCAGTCAGGTGGAGAAAGAGACCTCTGAAGCAACAAGGATGTGAACAATTGTTCTTTGATACTAATTTTTCATGTGTTGTCTCACACTTACTGTTAGAGATAACTTTCCATTTCAATATCAGTAGTAGTCATTCCAGTCACTATTTTCCACAGACCCTGGCTATACTGTTTATTACCTTATCTTAATGTTTGTGATGTGGCCAGAAACTTAACAATATTAGTGGAAGTTTGGCCAAGGAGAATCATCCTCCACACAGCAGGTCTGGCCAGGAACCATTTAAAGGATGGGAAAGCAAGGGATGGCAGTATGACTATGGAAGAAATTGAGGAAATCAGAGATTTTATTTTTGTGCCATGGAGGATTGGATAGGATTTTTAAAATAATGATGGATTTGCTTTTGCTTGTAGAAATAGACGATGAATTCATCAAAAACTTGAAAATACTGATTCCTTGGCTACTTAGTCCTGAGAACCTAGATATCAAGGAGATCAATGGGAATAAAATCACCTGCCGAGGTCTGGTGGAGTACTTCAAGGTATCACTGTTTCTAGCGAATTTGTGAGTACTCAGATTTGACGAGCAGTCAAGCACTTAGACTCTAACTTGGAGCAAAGGTATGAAGCACTCAAGAGAACCTTGCTTTTGAAAATTTTGTGGTAACTCCTTACTTTTTCTGTCTTCATTTACTTTGAGGGGGATATATTTTGAAGTATGAGTGTATGTAAGAAGTGGAAAAGTCATGTGTGTTTTGGGAGGAGAGGTATCTGCAGAGTCCATGACATACAATGAATTTTCATTCCAAAGATTTTCCTTCTCTATTGAAGAAAGTCCTTCCACATATCCTACTCTATATCAGATATTCATTTACTTCAGATAGCAGTGAGTACTTTTTAACAGTGGAAAAATTCAGTTACTAGCATTATTTATCAGTTGATGTTCTATAAACTGAAATATGATTTTTAAAAACCTGTCTTACTTACTTGAAAAGGGAAGGAGCAAGAGAGACAAAGACTAAGAGAATGAAGTAGATACGTATCCTTCCAACTATTGGCTTACTCTAGGTTCACTCTACAGATGCCCACACCATTCAGGCTGGACCAGGCTCAAGCCAGGAGTCAGGGACGCCATCCAGATTTCCTGTGTGAATGGCAGGAAGTACTCGGGCTATTATCCACTGCCTTCCAAGGTGCACCTTAGCAGAAAGTTAGAGTAGAAGTCGAGGTGGGCCCCAGCCTTAAGCACTCTGATAGGACATCCAAGTGGCTAAACATTCTGTGCCACACTGCTTGCATCTGAATTTTTAAAATGTGTTGTCTCTTACAATTACAAACCATTTGTCTGACCTTCTTTCATCACTTTCAATTAAAAAATGATGCTATTTATCCAAAATTTAAATTGTCAATTTTAATGATGTGGAACAGCTTATAATTTGCTTGGAGATTGAGAATACCAATCTTTTCCTTGAAATTTATTTTATCAGCAAGGCACAAATCCCTGTGGGAACTGAATCCCACACAGAGGGATATGAGAAAGTTAGAAGCACTGGCACTGAATTGAGCCTAAAGTAAGGGTTTGCAGGTGGAGATGTATAAAAAGGGCATTTCATGAGAAGGGAACATGATGAAGAAAGGGAATTAAATATATGTATACGTTTCTGAAAATGTTTTGAAATTATAAGACTTAGAATATAATTTAACATGAAAAATATTGATTGGAATTGCTTGAACATGAGTATTTTCCTTTCTTCAGGCTTACATAAAGATCTATCAAGGTGAAGAATTACCACATCCCAAGTCAATGTTACAGGTATTAATCAGGAGGCATGGCATTATTACAATGCTAAGCCTTCCTGTTGCTGTTTACATATGTGCCAATGTGGTCAACAGAAATCAGCAAAAAGGAAAACAAAATACTGGAAAGCATGTTTTATTGGATGATTATCTGTCCAATAACTACCCATTTATGTGTTCATCTAAGCATTTTTTCAGACACATGTAACAGCCTCATTTCTGTGGATACAACTGATGCCAAAAGCTTTTCATTCTTTGTACAAAATTTGTTTAGAGGATGGACTTATATTGTAATTCATGTATGTAACAAACCTGTTGAAAAGCAAATCCAAATTATATTTATCTGAAAATCGATACATATATTTGGTTATTTATTTGGCAGAATAAAAGGGAGACAGATCTTATTTTTTGGTTTACTCTCCAAATGACCACAGTGGCAGAGGATAGGCTGGGCTGGGCTGAGGCCAGGGGCCAGGAACTCCATCTAGGGTTCCCATGAGAGTATCAGAGGCCCTAAGCACTTGGGTCCTCTGCTGTTATTTTCCAAAAACACAAATGCATTATGGAAGATGAATTGGAAACAAAGTAGCTGGAACCTGAAGAGAGTTCCAATATGAAATTTGGTATCACAGGCAGTATCTTTACCTATTGTATCACTACACTGACCCCCCATGTCCAAGTTTTTAAATAAGTTGTCTCCATGAATAAATATTAGGAAAAAAGAGAAACATGTCTTCCTTACAAACCCTAAGAACTTAAGTTCTGAATGTTTTTTTTTATCAGTAACATACTGTTCTGTCAGTAGGAGTATTTAAGAAACTTCAGATATACTTTTTAGATATTAGCACGTATAAATGTATTATGCATTATTTCCCTTGCATTTAAATTTGTAATCTTTCCCCTGCACTAAAATATTTGAGAGCAAAAATCTTCAAAATGAAAATTCATCTTAGAACTGTGATTTACTGGATAAAATCATGTTTTATGCATTTGAAAATTTTAATTTTACTGATTTAAAGTATATGGTGGAAGTATTTCAACAGGTTCAAATTATTTGATCATTTTGGTTTCTTTCACATTTCTTGTATATGATGCTCTGACATGTGAACTGCCTTTGGAAGCTGAATAAATATGAACTCCATTTTACAATGTAATCTTGTACTCTGTTCAAAGGCCACTGCAGAAGCCAACAACTTGGCAGCCGTGGCAACTGCCAAGGACACATACAACAAAAAAATGGAAGAGGTAAGATTCAACAATATTTTATATGACTTCAAGTAAAAAAAAAATTTCTTTGCAGAATTTGTTGTTTTTCTTCTACATAATACTAGATTCACATGCAAAGATGTGGCTTTGAAGTTGTTCTCAGATTCCTGATTACAGTCACATATTGCTTAATGATAATGTACATTTGGAGAACTGTATTATTTAGTGATCTTATGTGAACACCAATCACAGAGTGTATTTATACAAATATAGATGGTGTGGATGAATCCACTCAGTGTATCCCCTTGATACAAATCAGTACAAGATGGATGAGGCTGCACAGCACATTGTAGCAGAGTGAAAGGTTTTTTTGGGGGGGTGGTTAAGAGATATAAATAACATAAAATGATAAAAATAAATACATAAGTCAGAATATAGTCATTATCAAGTATTCTACATTATCAAGCTTTTACCCAGCTGACTGTACAAGTTCTTGGCCACCATCTTTACATATGTGTAACATCGCACCACAGTGTCACTATGGCGTGATGTCACTGTCACTGGGTAAGTTTTTTAGCTCTATTATAATCTTATAACTATCAAATATGTAGCCTGTCACTTCCTGAAATGTTATACAACCAATGGTTATTACTAATAGTTTCTAACAGATAGTACTGCCTATGTGAAATTTGGATGCAGTCTGGACTGCATAAACAAATGCTTCTTTCTACCCAATACAGATTTGTGGTGGTGACAAACCATTTCTGGCCCCTAACGACCTGCAGACCAAACACTTGCAGCTTAAGGAAGAAGCTGTGAAGCTATTTCGAGGAGTGAAGAAGATGGGTGGGGAAGAATTTAGCCGGCGTTACCTGCAGCAGTTGGAAAGTGAAATAGATGAACTCTACATCCAGTACATTAAGCACAATGATAGCAAAAATATCTTCCATGCAGCTCGTACCCCAGCCACACTGTTTGTTGTCATCTTTATCACCTATGTGATTGCTGGTGTGACTGGATTCATTGGCCTGGACATCATAGCTAGCCTATGCAATATGATAATGGGACTGACCCTAATCACACTTTGCACCTGGGCGTATATCCGGTACTCTGGAGAATACAGAGAGCTGGGTGCTGTAATAGACCAGGTGGCTGCAGCCTTGTGGGACCAGGTAGGTATACTTTTGTCTCTCTTCAAGTATGTGCAGCACACATTTGAATAGGCATCCTTGTAACAGGTGCTCGGTGTTAGAAATATACAGATTAGTATAACTCAGGCCCCTGTCTTCTGGAACCTTACAGTTAGTCATGATTATCAATACTTCACTATAGTTAACAGTATATGAAATCCTGCCTAATGATTTTGCAGTTAATATGTCAATTTAAAAAAAAAGGATTTTAATGTTCTTTTTTATTTTTTACTCCCCAGATGTTAACATCATTGATAGTAGTATGGAAAAGTATTTATTTAGCTGATCTGATTTGAATATCATTACTTCCTGTATACAACCTATCTTCTAGCATTGCCTCTATTAGAGGCATATATGAACCACTGTTACAAGCCATCACTTAACTCTTTTTAGTATAAAATATATATTATGAACAGTATACATACTAAAAATATAAACAGCATTATATACTGAAAACAGTATTGAATTACTTCAGTTGGTCTCTATTTGAGTTCATCTTTTGCACAGGCCCACAGACTGGGCCAATGTTCGGCCTCTGGACTAGCTACTTATGTCTCAGTTGTCCTTGCTGGTCCTCTGAGCCACATCCTAGGGAGTTGGAGTCTCTATGGTCTGTTGTCCAAATAACCAATTATCAACATGGGAGACAATTAAATATATCTACACCAAGGATTTACTCACTGTATTATTTATTATTCTCAAGAAGTCTTGTTAGTTCATCAGAATTTGACAGAATTCAGTGAAGCTAAAGTTGAAATCCTTCAGAAAATTTTGGATGTAAGACTTTTGTATGATTATTATATCTGCAGGTAGCAAGTGACAGCTATATGTTTCTCCCAGCATTAACAGCATACTTTAAATTCTTTAAGATAGATTCATAACTAAATGGACTTAAAAATATTCTAGCTGAGACAAACTAAAAGTTGCATGCATGATAGGGAACAAATGAAATAAAAACTAGATCCCCTAGGCATTCACTCTTCAATAGTTGCTCAACTTATTTTTTTAATTTTTTGACAATCTTGACATAATTAGGGTAAAAAGGTTCAAGCACTACAGGAAGATGGGCAAGACAATTAGTTCCATATTGTTTCCTTAATATATCTGATGTAAAAGGGGATTTTAAGGGAGAAGCCCCACCCAGTCTCCCACCCACCCCAGGTCCCGGATGTGGGGCATGCTCTAGTTGCTCAACCTTTAAAGGTTGAAAATGGGACAAATTGAAGCCAGTCTCAAAAGCCTTCCTAAAATGTGATGCTGAACCTATGAAGGATAGATAATTGGATTCTCTAAAAGATTCTGATGAAGTATATAACTTAAACTGAAAATTCTACAGCAATATGTCTTGAAGTTTTACAAGTTAATACTGTAAACACAGTTCAGTATCAAAATGCTATTAATGAAACAGGATATATACTTTTCTTTTTTTCTTTTTAAACTGCCTTTGCCACAGGGAAGTACAAATGAGGTAAGTTCACTTTTTTTTTTTAAATTAAGACCTATGTATTTGGAAACACTGTATTTCATGAAATGACCAGGCATGAATGAAAAGCCATGTAGATTAGAGGATATTTGAAGACTTCTAGTTCTATTTTTCTAACATTTGCATTTTTCATTGTGAATTTTAACAGTTTAAAAAATATTTAGTTTGAAATTAAACCCAGACATCATTTATTATTTGATCTGCACAAAAGAAAAAGTTTACCAGAATTATGAATGAGTCTTAGTCTGTGTCCTGAATGTATAAAAACATAAAGCTTCTACACGGTGCAGTCTGCTGCAGTGCAGAGTGAAATAAATTATGAGGCTTGAGAGAATTTAACTACTGGGAGATTTTTAAATACAGTTTCAATGTTCACAGGTTGTTTTTAACTTTGGCTTCTGAGTAGCAGTTACCCACACTCCAGGCCAGTGTGCATTCTAATTTTCTTGGCATACCTCAGACCTAACCTGTAAATCAGCACCCAATTCTTCTACTATGTATCTTTGGAAAGAAGTTGGTTACCCTAAAGGAATCATTTGCTACATTAAGGAAAATGAACTCTGTGGACTCATTTAGGTCATCATCTTCAGAAGCAAAGCTAGTCTTGAACAACTACAGTGAGGATCTAGACTCTTTCCTGAGTCTGTACTACAGTAACTAGCCGAATTATATCGACTAATCAAATACTAGTGACACATTTTTAAGACTTATAAGTTAACAAGGACTTAATTTTTGCAGAAATCAGTTAAAATTATTTAACAGGTAAAAGCAAATGCCACTTTTAAGCAAGACATTAAGAAAATATCGGAGTTTTTAAGAAAATGCATTAAACTGAATATATTAGGATTAGAACATAACAGAACTACAAAAATACCACGTTGTACTAATATCCATTTATAGAACTCAAAATGGTGCCATTCGAACTTAACGACATTAGAAAGATTAAGAGAAAATAACATACTCACACATGATTTTAAATAATGCAATTGCTTGGGAATATATTACTATTTGAAGGATATCAAGTATGTATCCAGATTTTAAAATTACATATTACTGACTCTAGAACTAAATTAGATAACTCAGTTTTAATTGACTTCATTATGTGAAATCAGAAGGAATGGATTTTTTTAAATTGCAAAGTCAAAGGTACAGAGAGGAGGAGAGAGAGAAGATCTATCTGATGATTCACTCCCCAAGCGGCTGCAACGGCTGGAGCTGAGCCAAACCAAAGCCAGGAGCCTGGAGCCTTTTCTGGTGTGGGAGACCCAAAGCTTTGGGCTGTCCTCGACTGCTTTCCCAGGCCACAGGCAGGGAGCTGGTTGGGAAGCAGAGCCACCGGGCTTAGAACTGGCACCCATATGGGATCCCAGCGCATTTAAGACAAGGACTTTAGCCACTAAGCTACTGCGCTGGGCCCAGGAATGGACTTGAATGTTAGCTGAGGGGGTTAAAATGCAGTATGTAGAATTTCCTGTGGTTCGAACACTATTATGATGACACAAAGAAACATAAAAGGTAAAGGGTTTTGTTTGTTTTTAAAATATTTGAGAAGCAGAGGACAGATGGACACAATGAGAGCTCCTATCTGCTGCTCTACCCACCAGATACCTTCAAAAGATAGGATGAGCCAAACTGAAAGCAGGAGCGAGGTAACGCAGTGGGTTAAGCCACCACCCACAACACCAGCATTCCCATGGGCATTTGTTCAAGTTCCAGCTACTCCTCTTCCAATCCAATTTCTTGCTAATGCTCTCTAGAAAGCAGCAGAAGATGGCCCAAGTACTTGGGCCTTGTCACATAATGGGAGATGTGGATACAGAGTTCCAGGCTTTCTGGCTTCATTCTGGTCCAGTATCAGCCATTATGGCCTTTTTGAGGAATGAATCAGTGGATGGAAAGATGCATCTATATAAGTATGTATGTATCACCCCCCACCCCCGCAGCCCACCCTCCCCAGCTCTGTGTAACTCCTAACTTTCAAAAGAAATCAATCTAGCAGAGCTCAGATTGAATCCGGGAATTCTGTTATGGAATTTGGGTGTCCTAACGGGTGGTCTTAACCACAAGTCCAAATACCCACTCCCATCAGAATTAGTTGCAATGACAAAAGGCCTTCTGAGGTAATGTGTCTGAATAAAAGGTTTTGTAATGTACGAACTAAGTAAAGCAAAGCAAGGAATGCAGTATGGAAGGAGTATGATAACATGCCTTGCTGTATGACCTTAACAAGAAAGAATAGAGAATAAATTGTTCCTGTTCTGGAAAAAAAATAACTGTCAATCTGAAGTTATGAGTATCTACTGTGAGCCAAAACCTAGTAACATTCGCGGTGTATTGTCAGCACAGCTCCTGAGCATCATGGTGAGCTCTAACAGGTGTACCAGAAAAGCATGCTCGGTCTGAGAATAAAAACCCTGACCTTGCAGATCAGTCCACAAATCTGAAGACATACACACTGCCAAGGAGAAAACTGAGCTTTTGAACTTTAAAATGAGATACTTCCACATCTTAGAACAATGATCTAAAGATTATAAATTGAGCATGCTACATTTTATACAGTATCACAAACTAAAAAGGAAAAATTGTACATCTCTGTGTTTAATGTTTTTGTAATACTGATTTCTTGTGTTCTAGGCTTTATACAAGCTTTACAGTGCAGCAGCGACCCACAGACATCTGTATCATCAAGCTTTTCCTGCACCAAAGTCGGAAGCTACTGAACAATCAGAAAAGAAGAAAATTTAATGCAGATTTTGAGAAATACAGGTGCATGACCAATTTTCAGCTAAATAGCAGTTTTATGTTTCCATGCACACATTCAAAGTGCTTCCATTAGAACAGAGTAAAATATCAAACACCTTTGAAGACTACAAATGATTTAGTTCTTTTACTTCAGTGTTTAACAAGCAGACATCTGTATGCATGGTTATATCATTTTGTTAACATGTACAGTTTCCTGATTTCACCTTTAAGTATGCTGTTATAATTTAAAGTATTTGTCCATTTATGATGACAGTGTGTATTCTGCTTGAATTTACTACATTCTATTACTGGGTTATAATTAAACCATGTGGTAATACTACTGCACATTTGAATATGCTCATTTAATTTCTACAGAAAACAAATTATTTCACATAGCTAGTTGTGAGACTCAGCATCACAACTCAGCAGACTTAATCTATATAATTTTACATAGAACATGAGTTACTTATTTTTAAACATTTAAGAGCGTCCCAGTCACTTTACAGATACTACATAATGCTTTTATATTATGGTTTAAGATCTACTATAAACTTCATGATCAAAAATGCACAAATAATCATTTTGTATATGTATGAGTTTCAATGCATTGTATATTTTTTTCTTTTGGTACATAAAGAAATGTATTCTTCACAAGGTTTATTCTTTTAACATATGAAATATTAAAGTTTACTCTGGTTCCTGTTCCTAACATTAAAAACAAATGCGTATTGAATTTGGAGATGTTTGGGTGGTACTGATGTACAACAAAGATTTTTCTTTTTAAAAACTCAAGATGCATTTTCTTTGATGTTGACACAATTACAAATTTAAGTTTCCACTTTAAGAAACATGTGAATCCTTTAGGTAATTTGCAGTTAAGTAGTAATTCTGTACTTGCATTTCTGATTATTAAAATATCTGATGAAATTCCACTGCTGAGACTTCTTAAAAAAAAAGAGTTCACATTAGACACTTAATGTTTCCGAAATGTACAAGTAGTAAAGAAGAAAGAGCATATAGTTTGCAAGATACATAAATGCACCTTAGAAAAGTTAGATTGCAACTTTAGCAACATTTGCATTTTTTCAGTATACCTGTCACTATATTGCCATTTTCTTTACCTGGGACATTCTGAAAGGAACTACCAATTATGTATAGCAGTATGTCTAAAACATGGACACAAACAACACACATTTAGTTTCCACAAAAAATATATTTAATAAGCTTGTTATATAAAATCAAACAACAGTTTTTCAATAATTCAAACTCATTAATTCTAACTGGGAGTGCTTGGTATTTTGGAAGACTGTCTAAAAATATATTTACATATTTACAAGACATGTAAATATGACTTAATAACTACTTCAACTAATGTTGAAATTCACAGAATCCAGGAGGTTTACAGGCTAGAAGTAGCATAAATTTGTTTATAATGAAATGTACTGCACTAATTATGAACAAACATCTTACAACTATAACAAGAGAAACAACTGAGAAAGAAATACATGGTTTTAAAATTTTGTGACACACTCAAAATATAAAAAAAATAACATGAATCAATTTAATGACCAATACTTCTTAGTGAATCCCTGATTGTCATTTTCGGCAGCTTACTCCGGCCTGTCCAAAGGCAGTCTTTACCTAGTCTGTCAGAGGCAAGCTAAACACCAAGAGCTCTGGGTTAATGTAGAGCAGCCTATATTAGCAACTGGCCTTACGCTTACATTTGTTCATGAATGACTTAAAGGCCTTTCACTAGAAAACACTTGCTCAGCATGCTTCCAAAGGTTCCTTCCACGTGGGTGGGTAATGGGAGCTGGGGGAGGACAATCACATGGTCCTGTTTAGAAATTTAGCACAACAAAAGTTCCAAATCCTATTTCATTCTTTATATTCCATCATGGTAATATTTATACCATCCCATTCTAGACAATACCCCAAAATAAAACAGTAAACATCTTGGTATAAAATGCTGCATAGCTGCTCTGTTTTAAATCAAGGTGCTGCTGCAACAGAAGTTACCAAGTGATCCTTTCCTATTAGTAATCTGGCTCTAATGGCATTCTTGCATCAAGAATATTCAAGGCAGTTTTCTCCCATACAGCACTTGGAAGTGTTTTTGCCATGTTGGCTCTGAAGAGATAATTTTTTTGTTCAATAAAAGAAAAGTTTTCATAACAAAACACGTGCAAAATTAGTATTTTACAATTTCCCAAAAGTAAGCTGCCAAAGTACTTTTTGCAATTTTTCATCTGTGAAAATGTTAAAGCTCTTATAAAACTTAAATTTCATTTAAAAAAATTAACTTAAAAAATTCTTGCCATGTTGCTGGGCATACCACTGCTGCCTCTGCTTACGGTTTTCCAATTCAGTGAGAAGTGCCTGTCTATAGGCTTCATACATTCTGACAATCTGTTCCAGTTCCTTCATGAAGAGCAGCTTCAGCATGCCCTGGTAGGTGTCCAGGTCAGCAAGCTGGAAGAGTTCCCACTTCAGGATGTGGTCATACCTGTTTAAGAACATGGTCATACACGCGTTTAAACACACATAAACACAGATGCATAGCAATAAACCAGGCTGGTTTTATGAATAACAAAATTATTAAACCTAAATGACTGAAAAATGCTATTTAAAAACACCAAATGTCAAGAGGAAAACCAATAATTTACTGTATTTCAACTGAAGTTCAAGACCCGTTTCACTTTAAGCATGCTATTATAATTGACAGCCATCAACACCAATTTTAAACTACATTAATTCTATAATTTCTGAAGAACACATTTGATCACATTCACAAGTTAATACTAAGTGTCAAGTATTTAAGGATGCCTTAGATTGCAACATGTTTACAAACAAAAATGCTCAAAAACAGGCAGTCATCTGTGTCATGAGTGCTGACAGATGGTGCCAGAGAAGGAGGTGGAGGGACAGAGAAGCAGCAGTTGTGGGCTCTGTATTTTTAAAGTTGGGTATAAGGTGCTGAACATACAAAAAAAAAAAAAAAAGGAATAAACTCTTTATAGAATGAAATAATTAGTAGAATGCAGGAGATTCCATAATGTAGCAAGGGATTCAGGTAAGATTATATTTACATATTATATCTTGGAAAGCCTTGAATTATTCTTCATTTGTGTATCACATTTACAAATTGTTGTAACTATATATGAAAGCAGTAATTTGGATTTTGAATGGGGTTATGATTAGGGTTAGAGAATTATGAATTAAATGCTTTAAAATAGTGTCTTGCAATGTTAATATTTGTTAACACTAGACAAAGTACTTAAACTATAACAAGTCAAGTGCCATATGATATTTAAGTTACAACTATAAAATCCCATTAAAAAGCAAAATAAGGTTAAATTCAAGTTCTAGCAAAATTATTACTTTTTTAAAACAATTTTTAAAGATTTATTTATTTTTATTGGAAAGGCAGATTTACAGGGAGAAGGAGATACAGAGAGAAAGATCTGCCATCTGCTGATTCACTCCTCAAGCAGCCACAATGGCTGGAACTCAGCCAATCTGAAGCCAGGAGCCAGCGTTTCTTAAGGGTCTCCACACAGGTGCAGGGTCCCAAGGCTTTGGGCTGTCCTCGACAGCTTTCCCAGGCCACAAGCAGGGAGCTGAATGGGAAGTGGAGCAGCCAGACAGGAACTGGTGCCCATATGGAATACTGGCGTGACCAAGGCGAGGACTTTAGCCACTGAGCCATTGTATCAGGCCCACTAAATTCTTACTAACTTCCAGACCAGGTGCAATTACTATCCCCAATTTATAGAATAAGGAACTAGATCAAATAACCATCCCAAGGTTACAAAGTTTTAAAAAGTTTTAAGTGAACTTTAGCTCACCTTATCCCAGAGCTCACAGCCCTGTAAGTATAGTTTTCTCAATATACTTTTGTCCTGCTTTGTTTCACTCATGTATTTAGGACTTACCTGAGTCCTTAAATTTATCCTAACTACCCTTATTTACCTTTATCTATGTAAATCTCCTTTGACAATCTAAACTTCTTATTGTATCTCTAACAGCAGAGGTGTGCATACAAATTCAAGAAATATTTATTACAATTAGTAACTTCCATACCTTACAAATAAAACTACTACTTAGAAACTCAATTAAGAGAAAAACAGGGCACTGTCCAGATTAAGCAGCCCTCAGACCCCATTCATTCTTCTATTTAACCCTTAAAAATCCATGCTGCGTGTTCACTTACTTCACAGGGGCTCGAGCATAAACCTGAAGCCAGTCAGGAATTTCTGCAGTGTGATACGGATTTGCAGGTACCAGAAGGGACTGGTTTCTTTCAGTTTGTTGTGGCTGGTATGTCACAGGAGGAGGTTGATCATACCGAGGAACGCTAAGAAAGAATTGACATTCATTGAAATAAAAAGAATGTAAGCAGGAAATTATAAACCAACCAACCAAGTAACAGTTAAGCATCTTCCAGTGTGTCTCTTGTTGAAAATGTCTTCCTCCTACAACTTAAAAGATACTTTCCTATGGCAAAGGTCAACTTTATCAGATTACATGGAACATAAACCTTTCTTTGGAAACTACTATGTTACACAAATCTACATAAAATATTTGTGTGTGTTTTAAGAAATTTCTTCTGGCTAGTGTTTATTCTTTCCAAAAACAGCTTTGGGCCCTGCACAGTAGCCTAGCAGCTAAAGTCCTCTCCTTGCACACGCCAGGATCCCACATGGGCACCGATTCATATCTTGGTTGCTGAACTTCAATTACAGTAACTGAAAAAAGTTAGTTTTAGAAGTACTTGATGGGGGGTCAAGTGTGGCAGCCTAGTGGCTGAAGTCCTTATCTTGCATGCACCAGGATCCCATATGGATGCCAGTTAAAATCCCGGCTGCTGCACTTCCCATCCAGCTCCCTGTTTGTGACCTGGGAAAGCAGTGGAGGACGACCCAAAACCTTGGGACCCTGCACCTGTGTGGGACACCCAGAAGAGGCTCCCAGTTCCTGACTTCTGCTTGGTTCAGCTCCGGCCATTGCAGCCACTTGGGAAGAGAATTAGCAGACTGAAGATCTTCCTCTCTGTCCTCCTCTCTGGTGTATCTGATTTTCCAATAAAAATAAATCTTACAAAACAAAACAAAACAAAAACAGCTTCAATGAGCCTATAAAAACTGGGGAAATTTTTTTAAAGATTTATTTTTATTAGAAAGACAGATATGCAGAGAGAAGGAGAGACAGAAGGATTTTCTATCTTGCTGGTTCACTCCCCAAGTGACTGCAATGGCCAGAGCTGAGCTGATCCAAAGGCAGGAGCCAGGAGCTTTAGTCTCCCACACAGGTACAGGATCCCAAGGCTTTAGGCCATCCTTGATTGCTTCTCAGGCCACGGGTAGGGAGCTGGATGGGAAGTGGAGCAGCCAGGACACAAAGCAGTGCCTATATGGGATCCCAGTGCATGCAAGGCAAGGACTTAAGCCAATCAGCTACCACGCCAGACCTGGGAAAACTTTTTAAAAGAATTTTGAAAACCATACAAAGAATTTTGTAACCAAAGTGGCTTAAAACTAGAGCATTATATATTTTTTGCAATAATTAGAAATTTTTAACTAGGAATTAGCTGTGGGGCTAGTGCCATGATGTAGCAGCCTAATCCTCTGCCTGTGGTACCAGTATCCCATGGGTGTCAGCTTGAGTCCCCACTGTTCCAATTCCGATCCAGGTCCTTGCTGATGTGCTATGGGAAGTAGCAGATGGTCCAAGTGCTTGGGCCCCTAAATCCACATGGGAGGCCCAGAAGGTCCTGGCTTCAGACTGGTGAAGCTCTGGCTGTTGCAGTCATTTAGCAGTGAGCCAGCAGATGGAAGATCTGCCTTTCAAATAAAAATAAATAAATAAAAGCCTTAAAGATGGGTGGTTGGGCAGCACGTCGGTTCAATTGGCTAATCCTCCCC